CAGCTTCTTGGCGTAAGCACGAATGTCATATTTAGATCGACACCATTCAGTTCATTAGTCTGACTAATGCTTGGTAACCTGAGACACTGAGGGGTGAGGATTCCGCCAAAGGACTGATCCTTGAGAGGCCCTGTCCGAACAGCTGGGCTCCCACTCCTACATCCCTCTCTTTTTAATTACACATGATTGCTCTCAAACACAGAAGTCCCCAAGTGTCCTCTGAAACAAAGGAAGTGTCTATAGTGTTTGCTATCACTTGTTCTAAATGTATTTTATTACAAGTCTCTGAGAACTGGTAATCCATAGACAGTGTATATCTTTATCACTCAGCAGACCTTTCAAAACCAGAGTACCTTGTTCATTAACCTGTCAGGCCACAGAGTTTGCTACAGTGCTGATTTCTGTTGCTCTGCTCATGACACTTCTGTGTCCACACTCTCCTCTTGTATCCACAACCTCTTTTCTAAAAACCTTCCCCATAACTCATGTCCTTCAAGTAGTCCTACAGAATCATACTACCCATTGCTGATCATTCCTTTATGCTAAGTCTTCTCCAAGGTTGAAAATATAATTTGGGCTGTATTATCTCATACTTTTCCATTAAGAGAAATTTCTGGCTCCTACCACCCAAGTAAGTGACCTAGAACAAGCCCTTTACCTCTATGCCTTAATTTCTTCTTCATAAAAATAGATGTAATTCTTAACTATAAAAGCTATTTTGAAAAGCAAATGATATTGCATTCAAGAAAGTGCTTGGAAACCAATGGGTAGGGGGAACAAGGAGGCTGCTCCTATGGGTGGGGCTGCTAGGACTCCCACCAATTGTCCCTTGAGAAAGACCAGCCAATGTCCTTCCTCTTCATGACCTTCAGAGTTTATCAAGCTGTGCTAACATTTATATTCCTAAGGAAGTAACATATTTCAGTAGCTACTTTACTTCTTTCTCTCTGTGAGCCTATCCTATATAATAAAAGTCTAACATGCAAACTGACTGAACAGTGGAATGACCAGTGGAACCATCAGTCACTATGACACGCGCTGACCAAGATGCTCAACGCAGAAGCTGCCCCCAGCCCACAGGCCCCCGGCCAGTCAAGGTGGGTGCGAGTGGCCCCCCCCCCCCCAATCGCCCTGCCAATCACCCCACAGATCAGTCCTGATCGCTGGCCAGGTCTAAGGACTCTACCCATGCACGAATTTCATGCACTGGGCCTCTAGTATTTACTAAAATTCTTAATTAGAAGCTCACCTAAAACATAAGCAGTTTTCTGCCCTAACCACTCATTCTTTTTTTTTAATATATGTTTTATTAAGATATTATATATGTGTCCTTATCCCCACGTTACCCCCTAACTGCCCCCTCTCATGCCCTCACCCCCGCCCCCCCCGTTGTCCGTGTCTATTGGTTAGGCCTACATGCTTGCATAAAAGTCCTTTGGTTGCTCTTTATGTACTTTTAAAAAAATAGGCTTTTACACGTGGTCACAAGGGGCAGCCAAGGAGCTGATCCAGAGAGAGGGCATCATGTGCCCCTAAAGGTCCCGAGTGTGGAGAGGGCGCAGGGCTCCCGCAGCACCAT